ATCTCTCCAGTGGTCAGTGACTGCAACCTCTCATTAGTATCATTTTGTCACTGTAACACTTTCAGAAGACTGACTGAAACTGCTTAAAGAAAGCCTTTATTGTCACCTCCTTTTTGTAAAAGGGTTGCTTCCTAAAAAGCATGGCTCACATATCCAGCTGCCAATAATTCTGCAATGCCAGACACTGTAATTTGAATGAATGTGATAGTTATTATGAATTTGACCTTGCTCATATCTCATTGACTGGGAGATGCTTGTTAGAGCCTTTATGCCTATTGTCACCAATGCAGCTTCCTCCTCTTCATGTACTCCAAATGTCTGATGGAAGTTTCTGTAGATATCCCTCCAGTCAAGAAGAACTCTGTTTGGTTTTATGGAAACTCCTACTTGACTTACAGTAAAGCTTCTGCAAATTTTAGCTTCAACACCCAAATGTCATGGCTAATCATGATGAATAAAGGTAACAACAGAATCTTTATGTTGAATATAATAAAGATAATTTTTTACTTCAGTGAGATGTTGAATTTATAAATTAGCCATCTTGTGGGAAATTTCTGTTGAGATTTGTTGTATTAAATCAGAATGGCAGGCTGTACTGACAAGTAACTGAAACGGCACATAAAGTCATAAACGTATGCAAACAGATGTGATGAGACTCCTTATAACCATGATGGCAAATCTATGGCAGGCGTGCCAGCAGCACCCTCTCTGATAGCACGAGAGCTGTCGCCCCAGTTCAACTCCGCTGTGCATGTGTGCATGTCTCCCGCCAGCCAGCTGGTCTTTGGGCATCTGCCAAAGGCAGGGCTGTGCAGGCATGCGCAGGGGCAGGGCATGTGTGGGGGGCGTGTGAGCATAAACAGGGGCAGAGGGCATGTAGGGGGAGTGCGCATGCATGGGGAGCAGTGCACATGAAGGTGGGCCACGTGTGCATGCGTGGGGTGGGGGGCATATGGAAGCCATGCATGCATTCATGGGTGCGTGGGGCGCATGCGCAGAATGGGCACATGCAGGGGGCCTCATGTGCATTGCATTTTGGGGGTTTGCGCACTCGGTCCGGAAAAGGTTAGCCATCACTGCCTTATAAGGTCTCTCACTAAGATATAATTTGGATTTTCTTTTGAAAATTAGGAATCTGATCTGACTCTGTAAAACAAGAATGCCACTGCAAACATAAGTCAGCAAATCAGCAGGTATTGGAAAATATAAATTATTTTTCCTGTTTTGCATAAATTAAAAGCAATGAGTGAATCTTGACATGAAAAGTATTTGAGAAATTTGGGTGTTTTTAAGTTAAGTATACTCAGTTGGGAAGAATATTTTTTTGCTAGTTGATTAGGAGCTAAATGAACTGAATAATATGGATAATTTTGCTTCTCTCTGTGCTTACAGTAATGGCAATTATTTACAACTTGGTTTCCTTATGATAGCCTAACTGATAGCAATAAGGAATATTTTGATTACCAACAATATATGAAAAAAAATATTGAATGTCTGAAATATATCCTTGAAACATTTTGAAAAACTCCAGATCAAGGTATAGTATGTTATCAGTACATTTCTATGGAGATGGAAAGATTCTGAACTGAAGTTAGAATATATTAACTGAAGTAAAGACTGAAGATACAAAAAGAGTATGGTAGGAGTGGAAAAAAATATTAGCAACAGCATAGGCTTGAGTTTGGGGTAAAATAGGCCATGTTAAAATATTTAGAAAGCATAATTTATTCATTAAGTCATTTTCCCAGATTATGCTTAGTACGGCATCATTTAAACCACAATCATATAAATGTGCAGAGTTATTATTGGGAAGTTGCAAAATGACATTTAAAATCATTGCAATTGTTGTTTTGTGAGATAGTTAGGCCATGAAAACACTGGTCAAAAATGCTTCCTGAACAGAATTTTGAGGAAGACATCTCATGTCCCATTTCTACCAATGAGTTGATTGATCCTCTTCAGAAGTACATTTAGCCTTCAAAGCCTCTACACTAGTAGAGTGGACTATTACATTCAGATACATCATAAAAGACCAAGAAGGTCCTTGGTTCTGTTAAATTTTTAATTCAACATTAACTTTTCCAGTCGTGATCAGTCAGATATTCTCAAAAATGGAGAAGCAAAGCGTGAAGGCAATAATCCTCTTTCATTCTTTGCTCCAATAGTTAACATTCAGAACTTCTCTTTATTATATTTATTCAAGAGGGGGAAAAAAGCTATGATCACTGAACTCTCTGCAATGTCTAGCTTCTCCAATTTGTCAATATAAGACTACAGTATAATTAAATCCAATTCGGAGACCTCTCTCCCTATCAGCATTATAAAGCTGCACATTTATATGTGGCATGCTTTTGTGTGTGTGTGTTTATGTGCATGTGTGTGTGTGTGCATGTTTATAACATGTGGCTATGTATGTAGATCTCCTGTCCCTCTCTTCCCGCTCTTGCACCTGGTTGTATTAAATCTAGGACAAATTATTGTTCACTTGATAATTCTCTCTGCAAGTTGAAACATTAATGAAGTAGATTTACAGGTTGCCTGGATAGCTTACTTACTATTCAAATGAACCTGAATACTATTGTCTTGCAAAGCACTTTTCAAAATTTGAGTAGAACAAATATGGCATAGACCAGACGCAAAGACATATAAGGCGAGGCCAATATATGCTGCTCAATGCTTCATCCTCCACCTGAAGGTTTGTGTCAGGGATCTACATGACAGAAAATGTGCCTACTTTGCCTATTCTTAATCTACTAACAATTGACCTATTTACTTAGACTGTAAATAGATCAATCAGTCTACCTTTAAAATGTCAGAACATTATTTAATATAATCTAGGTATTCTGATAAACTGGGCTTCGGTCAATGAAAGGTTAAATATTTTTTTGCTCCAATTAACTAACACTAATCTCTCTACCGGTAGTATCTAATTTTGTGCTTGTTAAATTTTAGCTTATCAATTAGCACTTCACTTTATCTTGTCATGACCATTAGGCTGCAGTTTTGTATTCTCTTTAGACATTAATGTCTAATCAAGATCTGTTGAATTAAAGGCTGACAGTGAATTTATTAGAATCTCTACAGTCTGTCTACCTATGCTTCAGTAATCTTATCCCTTTGCTTGCAATAAGCTTCTGTTGCTTTTTCTCCCTTAACTTTGATGTGTTAAAAGGATTGTCATTGCTTTAATAGTTTTAGCAATGGAATTATTTCTTTGGTTGCTCTGTCATCAGTACATTTGTTTCCCACCAACCCCCCCACCGGAATTTGTTTTACAATCTTAATTAGGACAAAACTATTTCCTGGATTTTTTTAAAAAATAATGCCTTGATTCTCTTTAGGTATGGAAGTGAATAATTTTAATGCTGATGTTACATTTTAGAATCTGTTACTAATTTTATGTCTGAGTTATTCTTTGTATGCTTTCAGTAGCAATTGCAATAGCACTGATATACTGCTTCATAGTGCTTTACAGCCTTCACTTTATAGAGTCAGCATACTTTCCCCAGCAATCTGGGTCTTCATTTTACTGACTTCTGGAGGATGGAAAGCTGAGTCAACCTGAGCTGGTCAGGATCGAACAGGATCCTGGCAATGAGCTGAATTAGCCAGCAATACTGCATTCTAACCACAGAGGCACCATGGCTCAAGCAATTTACAATCAAGTAGAAAATGAAGACGAGAGCCATGTTAACCTATGGTGAGGCAAAACATCAGGAACCTGGTAGCACCTTTTCTGATACATTTTATTAAAAGGTATAATGTTTCATGAGCTCAGATTTGTAAATTGGAAAAGGTACTACTCAATTTCTTCTGATGTTTTTCAACCAAGTAGAAGTATTTCATTCACTTTACTTCTGTCTTTTCTCTTTTTTTGTTTGAATGTACATTCAAAGCCAGGGAATATTTGTATAAAAATATGTGCCCATGCACTTAAGTTCTCAGTTGTGACAGTGTAGGCATTCTCACGGTCCTTGGAATAGTTCTTATAGTTGGACACTGCTTAAAGCCACATGAATGCACATAGACAATGACTTAGTATTAAGGACAGCTTTTACTTTAGGTTTCTTTTTAGGTTTTAGGTTTTATTTGATTTATATACCGCCCTACTCCCGAAGGACTCAGGGTGGTGAACAGCCACAAGATAAAACACATAAATACAAAATTTAAAAGCAAAATAAAACCGAATTAAACAATTTGGCCCAAGACAGATTTAAAACACCCCAATAATTAAGAACAGATTTAAAATTTACATTTTAAAAGGGAAAAAGGGAGAGTTAGGCCAGGCCAGCCTGATGGAATAAAAAGGTCTTGAGAGCGTGGCGGAAGGTGCGCAGATCCGGGATCCTCTGTATCTCCGGGGGGAGCTTCCACTTACTGAAGAACTGATTTTAAATAGTAAATTCTTTTGATGTGACAATTTAGTAAGCCAGAAACCAACAATCATTTGGTTGCTCTTACTTGGTTGTCATTTTCATATTTGTATATTTATATATCACATAGGTCTAATGGAGAGATGGGCAACTACGGCCCTTTTATGACTTGTGGACTTCAATTCCCAGAATTCCTGAGCTAACATGCCTGGCTCAGGAATTCTGGGAATTGAAGTCCACAAGTCATAAAAAGGCCGTAGTTGCCCACCCCTGATAATGTCATGTGAAGAGAGCCAGTTTGGTATAGTAGTTAAAGCATCAGGCTAGAAACCAGGAGACCGTGAGTTCTAGTCCTATCATAGGCACAAAGAGAAAAAGGTGACCTTAGGCCAATCACTTTCTCCCAGCCCTAGGAAGGGGGCAATGTCAATTAACTTCTGGAAAACCTCGCCAACAAAACTGCAGGGAGTTGTCTAGGCAGTTTCCAAGAACTGGATATGATTGTTTTTTTAAGTTTATTTTTTGTTGTATGCCATCCAGAGGTCATATTATTTGAGATGGGTGGCTTTATTAATCTAGACTTTTCTAAACAAAAATAAATAAATAATGCTGAGAACACTTGAGGCATCAACAGGAAATAAAATATTTTATTGGATATTGGGTAGTATGTATGTTTTATTTTAACAACACCTGGAAAACTCTACTGTGGGATTCACTACACAAAAGTGAAACAGTGAAACAAAAGATAAACCACCTTCATAAAAACTAAATGTAAAATACAGCTAAACTTGTTAGCTCGTGGGTCACGAGCAGTATGGCAGGATAGAACACCCCAAATGTTTCTACAAGATACAGAGAAAAACCCCACACATAGAAACACTCAAGCAGGCAGTAAATATACACAAAGGCAACTAGGATCTTTCTACAGCATCAGATTCTAATACTTTACACAGCTTTGTCAGGAAGGTACATGTGGCTTCTTTTGAGAATAAAAATGTCATCTTGGTCAAATAGCAGATTTTTCTGCTGAAAATGATGGAACATTACATACCAATTCCGCAGTGACATTCATTCTGGCAGTGTAAAAAGAGAATCAGTTTAGAATACCTTCATACAATGAATCAATTCTGGCAGCTTCAGCCTGAAATTTCTCTCCCATTATGCTGATCAAGTAAAAGAAGTTACAGCAGAACTGAACCCTCTGTGCTCACTCACATTGGTGAGATTTGGTCGTATACAATTACAAAAGGACCCTCTTACATATAGTTCAGTTTATCTGATTCAATTTTGCCTTTTCCTCTTTGATGTAGAATGGTGTTTTTCAATCTCAGCAACTTTAAGATGTGTGGACTTCAATTCCCAGAATTCCCCAGCCAGCTGGCTGGGGAAATCTGGGAATTGAAGTTCATACATTTTAAAGTTGCTTAGGTTGAAAAACACTGATGTAGACAATAGAAAGAGCACCAGAATGATAAATCTTGGTCCTTGTGGAAAGCTAAATAGAAAGTGGATTAAATTGCCACAATCCATTTGTGATTTGTGAGTTCAATTCTCTTCATTTCATAAGTAACTTGCCAGCTTAGAGCTTGGAAAAAGGAGATTAAAAAAAACACGACTGGGGATGCCTTTTTTCTTAAAAAAGGAAACTCTATATTTTGAAATTATTTCTGAGGAAATCCCACACTTACTACTAAAAGTTTTTTTTTTTTAATGGGAAGGAGCGGGGGTGGGGGGGGAATGTCTTCTTGGATTTTTTAAATTTTTGGTGCTTGGTTGTTACTGAAAATAGAACTTGTGTTTCAACATATTAAAATATATTTACAATCTTTTAAATAAATATGCAGCATTTAAATAAATTAATGAAAGGGTTCTCCAAGGAAGAAAGCCCAATTGCAAAAATAATGCCCCGATGCGACACAAGGAAATAATATAACCTAAAGTGACCATCGGTCTTTTTCTGAAGGACAGCCTCTACCATCAACCTGGGGAGAGATGTGGAATATTGCACAGTGTTGACAAAATGCTGTGTCGTCAGTCCATTCTAAATGATGCCTTGTCCTGTGCATAGCTCTTCAGTTCTGAATTGGTCCATAGCTATAAGAACGTCTTGTGCTATGCAATCCTTCGGCAGTGCAGTAGAAGGGAATGGCAGTATTTTTACAATATCACTACAGAATAAATTGATTGCTATCCACTGAGAGAACTACAGTTTCTAAGCACACACGGCAGTCACAGTGATACACAGAGCAGTCTTTTAAGACGCTTATGGAATGACTAATAGCTTCATAATAGTGCCATTTACTACATAGTAACATTGAAAACATTTAAAAACTCCTCCTGAAACGAGCATCTAGTGTACATAAGAGGTTGCTTCAGTTTGCTAGAACTTGTTCTTTGTTTTGTTTCACTTTTTTTAAAGGACAAATTAAAACTTATTAGTATAAATAGTATATAAAAGGTCACTAGCTGTTATCTTTTGGCTTGCTTTGAAGTGCATTCAGAAATATGGCTAATTTTTTGTCCTCTTTTGATGGGATTGTACAATACTGTCTCGTCACCATGAAACTACTTTTGTATAATAAACACACACGGCTGTGATTTTTTTTTTTTGTTTTGCTTTAAAAAATATTCTGCATTCCTTCTCATCTGGCTTAGTATAATAAAATATTTTGTTACAAAGTCTAATGTGCAAACTCATTAGAATTAGAGAATGTGAGAGCACAAATGGGATTCACAGTATGCAAATTCGTATAAAGGTGATAAAGGAGAGCTACTTGTCTTCAAGTATATATGTTTGCCACGGGTAGTAGCAGGGCGGCGGCGGCGGCTGCTACATAACCCTGAAATGATTCCCACACATAGTTTATATGTTCCTATGTGTAATATTTCATGCTCCCACCTCCCTCCCTTGATGTAACTGTACCTTCATTTCTAAGTGTAAAGCCATGATTTAAGTTTGTTTACACACACACACACACACACACACACACACACACACGTATATATACAGAGAGAGAAAGAGGGAAAAAAGTGATCTATCAGCTTCTGCTATGCTTCCTAGAAGTCAGTCCTGCTCAGATCATGCAAAATTGCCCACGAGAAAAGTCTACCAGTGGATTCATTCCTTCAAGAGCATATCTTGATATTGTAATGGTTCAGTTGAAAGCTCAGATTTAAGTTGTCCTTTAAGATGTCAGTGTAACACTACTAGTGCCTTACAAGTTGGAATTTTTGCTGGAATGCAGACAATAGTTACCCTATAATATAATTATCAGCTCTCCTATATCTCAGTCAATTTACATAATTTAAAATATAACATCTTATTAAAAACATCTAGATATACACAGATTAGGAAACGTTTACGACAAACAAATAAACAGACTAGAAATAAATTTGTAGATACTGGTATGTACAACTGTGTGATACAATAAATAATTTCTGTCATGCTCTATCTACACATATTGCTTAAAAGAAGAGTAGATCTGAGGGCAGTGGTGAGATGGAGTGCCTTATAGGGCTGTTTCTACATTAAAGTTGTGCAAATTAAAACAAGAGTAGAAGTACCACTGATCTGTGTTGGGGATGCATGGCTGGAAATAAAAGGACCCATATTACTGAGGTATTTACAGATACTGGCTAAAGAGCACTATATGGGCAAATGCAGAAAGGCCTTCTTTTCACATTTCACTTTCTTCCTACTTCTTGACAGCAAGCATGGCATCTACTTCTTCCTCTGGCTGTAAGGTATGCCACTGTGCAATGGGTCGTCTTGGGTTGGCCAACATGTCTGACCAATGTCGCAGCTCCGCGCCAGTGCTGTTGTAGCCCACAAAGACTTTGCCAATGGCATCATTCTTGCCAATCTTGTCATAGTCCAAAACAGTCACAACAACTTGCACTTTCTAAACAATGGGAAGAGAACAAAGCAAGGTTGAAAAATGCAAATCCGTACATTTTGCTGCTGAGATTGTCAGAACTAACACAATCCATGAAGTAAGTGGGCAACAATATATGGGAAACTCAGATCTGTTTTACCTTGATTTTCCTGCAGCCTCCTAGGAACTATATTCTATAAATCCCACTCCAAAATCTTATCATTGGCAGTTTTTCAGTGTATACAACTGAGCCTCTTCAAAAATCTTATCATTGGCAGTTTCTCAGTGTATACAACTGAGCCTCTTCTTCTATTCTAATTTTTCTCTAAACTAGATATTGAAAAAGTTGCAATAATCTTGCCTGGGATGGTGCCAATGCTTCAGTAATGAGATTGCACTGCCAAATCACTCTTCTAAAATATTTATGTACCAGCAATGTAAGTCTTATGGTTGGGCACAGAGACACATATTTTTAAATCAAAACTTTGTGTTTAATTCAACAGATACAATATGAATGGATGAATCTCCCTGCCGTCTGTTGTAACAATGCTTCAGCCTCAGTGGCTTGGTGAAATTTTGCTGAAGCAGACAATGACCCTTATCACTACATTTATATATCAAACTGGAAAGTTAAGCTGTGATCCTGTAAATCGGGATGGACAGCCCTGCTTTTCCGCCAAGAGCTGCCTTCGCTTGGGAATAATTTATAGAAGCCCATATGCTAAAAGTGACTGGAATTTAAGGAAGCAATACAAGGGCCACAGTGAAAGATGGATGACCACTTTCTTTCCTTCTAACCTTTTTGATGTTTCCTTTTTTGTCTTCTGGTTTTATCTCATATTTCTTTTTTTCTTTATTGTCAGAAGTCAAAACTGTTTACTTCCAGAGGGCGTTTGAAATGAAATAAAAGCACAGAACTAAGCTGACTATTCTGGAATTGCCAACACCTATTATTTACTTATGTATCTTATTATAAGTATGGTTTTAGTTATGCAGTTTAGCAGAACTTTATAACTATTACTGTGCTTCCTTTAAATAATTTTGATTTGATAAAATAATCAAATTTCATCTGAAAGAATGGAAAACAACAAAACCGATTTTCTCCTGAACTATTGGAATAAAATCACCATTGAATTTTCTATTTAGCATCCATTGCTGCTGAATAAATATTCATTATCTGCTGCCTATTTGAAGAATTGATATTCCTAAGTGTTGTATCGTTCATTTTTTACTTTTTGTAGCAATCACCCTTGTTTCATCCCATGCAGGACTATTGCATAGGTATTAATGAAGGTACCTGTGAAGAGGAGAAGAATTTCAAGGCGGAGAAGGAATTGCAAGTTTGATATTACCTGGATTTGCTCAAATGGTACTTCAAAGCTGAAGGATTCATTGTAATAAGGATTCAGAGTGTTCTTCTTAATTGTTGTCTTCTTCTTCTTCAACCGTTTCCCATTCTGCATCAGATGAATTTTCACATAGGGATCTAAACAACAGCAGAAACAAGTTTTTCAGAAATTTAAAGCTCTCTCTATATAGGGCCAGGCTAGCTTTGTTACACCATTACATCAGCCCTTCCCACCTGGTCAGGCAGGGAAGGTATATTGAGGACCCTATCAGTTAAAGATCTTAGACCAGAAAGAGAGCCTTATCTGCCGTTGCTCCCGCCCCGTGGAATATTCTCCCCCTAGAGGTCCTGGTCTTCCAGAAAGGGGTGAAAACATGGCTCTGCAGCTTTCCATGGGGAGCCCAGGGCACAGGACTGTTAGCACCCTGAAATCCTTCCCTTCATGCTTTAATTAATTTTTATTAATTATTCTTGCTCTTTTTAGAATTTTTAACTTTTATATACTAGTTTTATGTTTTGAAATTTTATTGTATACTTCTTCTGTGAGGAAGATGGGTGGTTCCAAAATGTGATAAATAAAAATAAATAAAATGTTGGCTAATGCAGTGAATCTTTTAATGAGAATGAGATAGTGACAAAATAAACAGGAGAATAATGGAGTGACTTTTTTAAAGGATGCAAGTCTTATGCTAATATCAAAACCTGTATAATGATTGCCTAGCAACTATTCAAATAGGGCAATTATGTCAAGTGATAATATACTGCACTGAATATTGCAAATTATGAGTGAAGACTTTTTCCTTAAAGTGTACACTAAAGTATTCCCTCTTAATGTGTTTTCCTCCAATGTAAGGTTCCAGAAAAGACTTAATTCCGAAGGACAAAAAGATATAGGTCATTTTGTTACTCTTATTGGACGTGAATTCAAAGAAAATTGACAGCAGTGGCTGAGGCAAACGAACATTACTTTGGCTCTTCTCGTTGTTATTGAAGATTACTTCACATTTTAGATGTGTTCATTAACAAAGAATTGTTATACTAGCCCTAATTGCTTGTGTGTGTGTTTGTGTGTGTGATGTGTGCATAACAATCACTAGGATTAGACAGGTTTGTAGAGAAACATGGCACTCAAATTTGATTCTAAACCAACTACAGGTAGAATTTCCATACTGTAAATGGTGGTGATATTCCAGCTCTCTAACAAAAAATACAACTCCTAGAGCCGTGATGGTGAACCTGTGCACATGTGCCTGAAGTGACACACAGAGCCATGTCTCCTAGCATGTGCTGCGTCACCCATTCCTCTTCTGGGTTTCTGGTGCGCATGCGGGCATGTGCCAATCAGCTAGCCTTTCTATGCGGCAGAAGAGCTGGTCTTCCATTTTCCTGCATGAGCATGTGCGCCGTCTAGCTGATCATTGCATGCGCATGTGCACCAGAAACCAGGAAGTGTAGCTGGCTGAAACCGGAAGTTCAGTAACTGAAACCGGAAGTTCATTTTCGGGCACGCACATGCACCCTGGGCAGCTCCTCTTCCGGGCTGCGGCCCAGACCTGTGTGCACTCCCTTTTTGGCACTCAGTGCTGAAAAGGTTCGCCATCACTGTCCTAGAGGAATAGCCATTTGTATCCTACCTTAAGATAAATGTTCTTAGAGATACCTGTCTAGATACTATTGGGAAATAAGAATCCTGTACTAAAATAAATCCTCTGTTTATTAGGTCAAACAAAAGAAGTTGCCTAACATTATAGCAGCCAAGATTTAACAGAGTGCAGGAAAAGTTCTAGGAAAGAATATATTTGCACAGGCTTTCTCTGTGGATCAGGTCTGGTACTTTAACATAGCTAGTTCTTGCTGTTTAATGGTCTCTGGGTCTTCAGTGCACTATTCCTCCTTTGGTCTTGATGATCCTATTGTTTACAAAAAGTTTAAAGTTTAATGTTAGCATAGGCTTATCCCATTTCATGCTATCATGTGCATTGTTCTCTTTCTGATAATCCAGTTTTGCTCTGAACAATGAAGTGAAAGAGACTTCCTGTGGAAACACACTTTTAAATGTAAACCACAGTTTAATACATGGCTATTTAGCTCCTTTGGCTTAGTATGGTCTATGGCGGACATAAAAGACAGGGAAAGAAATAGCTATATTTAGGCAGACAAGTTTTAAGGACTTATCTGTTCTTTATCTTAATGGAGTTTGGGATAGGAAATCTGCGGTACCAAAAACTACATGACCACTACAACTTGCAAATGGAAGTTGAAGAACATCATACTGTATGGTTGTAAATGCAGGCAGATTGCTGAGCAGTCAAATTTGATCATATTATGCAGAGGGGCTGCAACAACAATAACTTCAAGGACAAGGCATTTTGTTCAGCAATGTCAATGTAACTTCAAATGCTCACTGAATAGTTATTAAGTGAGGTCTAATTGTACTTCCAAGTTTTTTTAAAAAAATATCAATCCAAACAATTTTTCTGTACAACTACTAATAGCTGCCTAAATTTCAATTAACTAATAATAAATTACTAGTATTTGCATTAACCAATGGCAGTCAATGGTTTTCTAGGATATAAGCTATATTTCATTATTCTTGTCCTATTTTCTAATCCAGAAATCAAACATTTTTATGAAGGCACTATAATAATTGCTTAAACAGAAATTGTAAATGGTATCCAAATTTTTGAAGGTTAAGTAAATAAAAAATGGAGACCAATTGATTAATGCATTCATATTCAAAGAGGAGGCTAAAAATAGTTTAAATCTACATAACAACATGGCATGTCAATTGTCAATTGGATGGGTAGGAGAAAAATTTAAAATAATTATAATAATTGATTTTGCAATGTCTGTGGCCAGGAAACCTGTACACTTGTTCTGTCTGTTGTTTAGCAATACTGAAACCTTGCCCTCTTTTCCTATTTTTTCCTCTCTATTGCACTGACTTTGGATGAAACAGCTTTTGAAACAGACTCCTGTTCAAGCACCGGGCAATCCCTGAACAGTTACAGATGCAAGCCATCCAGATAATAAGGAAAATAAATCTAAAACACGGAGTCTGAACTCACTGAAATCTCTCGAGTGCAGCTATTGGCTGTTAGTGTTAGTAGACCCTTTTAAAGGTTGGTATTTCTGATCCTCCTGATGAGACACTCCCTGCTATACTGTAATGAGAAGCACTTGGCTTTTCATTATAGCCCTATCTTTAGGAGAAGAAGAGCTGAGTGAAAAATATTGCTCTTTCACTTGCTCTAATTAACATTCAACACATGGAAGGCTGGCAGAAGCTGAAAAATTCTCAATTAGTATTGTGCATTACTGATTTTACAAGACTATCTCAAGGGAGGACTAATAGAGAAGCTTTTAAAAGCAGTTCAACTGACATGCTTTGTTTTACTGTCATTTAATGGCAAACGATGTCAGTTCATTACTTAAGGCAAACAAAGGACTTGTGTCTCAATTGAAATGAAAGCTGAGGTATATACAGTATATATAGTAATCTTGATCTCAGAACCGCCACTGCTCATTTACAAAACATGTCTCCAATATCCATAGCAAGTGGCTTTATGGACAAGAAAGATTTAATTTAGCAAATAATGAACAAACTTCTTGATGTGACAGGCAAGTGAAAAATAGAGTATTTTGTAGGCAGTAGCACGGTTACATGAATTATGCATCAGAAGCATCAAATGTACATGGATAAGGTAGAGTCTATGGATGCATCAGGAGAGAATTAAGTATTCCTTCAAACAAAAGCTTGAGTGACAGAGCTTTTAATGTGAAAACTAAACTGTAGGTACTATATGTTTTTACATTCTCTTCTTCAAAAAGAGAAAAACCTATTTTCGTGAATAGTTACATCGGCAGAATACTAAAAATGACAGTGAAAGTGAATGGCAAGGCTAGGACACAATGATTATACGTTGAATACGAAGATACTGATCTTTAATAAAGGTGTGCAAGTCCTGTGGGCTGATATACATAGTTCAAATAATGTACTGAAGTACATTATACAGCTCTTATTTGTTTGTATTTTGAGGGGAAGAAGTAGAGAGAGGGGTTGATACTCATGACTCTCCCATCTTATTACAAAAAGAGTTGCTCTGCAGATTAGTACCTTTGCAATATAGTGAACAAACACTGAAAAAGTAGTTTAATAAGAAACTCTACCTTATAATTTTCTTGCTGCTTTGCCTGGTTGTGAAAAATTTTTAGGTCTGAGGGCTCAACTATGTACTATCTTAATGGCATAATTTTGCATTTAGCTAAATACAAAATAAGCATTGCAGATTGCCAGAACAGGCTTCCAAATTCAGAAGGTATTCCTAGTATAAGGGCTTAATCTTTGTTATTCCACTGCAGTCCCCACCCGATTCTGAACCCACATTGTAATCTCTTTCACTCTCTTTCTTTTGCTATGCAGACTAGAAATCTATATGCATATAAACACTGAAGGCATCTGATCTGGGCCTGAAAATTAGGGTGTTGGGGGAAGGTGTGCATGTTGATCATTACAACAGAATTGTACACAAAAGCATATTTCTGATGGTACTTGGCTTATCCAATTTAGACTAAACTACCATTCCTAAGAAATGTCTTCATACTTGAACTGAACATCTGTAGAGAAGAGTAGGCTAACCTGGGGAGGTGGTGGTGGTGATGGAATAAAATGCACCATCAGTTGAGAGCCCTTGCATTGCCATAAGAAATCCAATTCCAATCCCCCTTTGAATTCCAGTGACCCTTATCTAACAACAATTTAGTGCTGACCATTAGTTGACCAGATTCTTGTGTACAAGCTTCAATAAATTTTTTATAATGCAACCAGGGGTGAAATCCAGCAGGTTCTGACAGGTTTTGTAGAACCGGTAGCGGAAATTTTGAGTAGTTCGGAGAACCGGTAGCAGAAATTTTAAGTAGTTTGGAGAACTGGCAAATACCACCTCTGGCTGGTCCCAGAATGAGGTGGGAATGGAGATTTTGCAATATCCTTCCCCTGCCAGTCCCACCAAGCCACGCCCACCAAGCCACACCACACCCACCAGCCACGCCCACAGAACCGGTAGTAAAAAAAATTTGATTTCACCACTGAGTACAACCAACATGAATGATCCTGATTCTTTATGCCTGATAGTATT